CAATTATTATTGAAGAATGAATGAATGAATGGTGGTAATATTTCAGTTACTGGAATGATGATATAATTTAATGATTTTATTAGAGGATATCTAGATAGTTTACTTACAAAGAAAAAAATTGAATGTAGGAAATTTAAATACTAGGGAGAGATATTGAGAACATAAGTCTAGATATTGATCTTTGTTATAGAAAATTCAACAATATGATGAAGTGTGTTAGAGTAATTAGTGAAAAACATCACTAACACCTATTGGTTGTGGAATAATGATACTAATGACTCCATTATAATATAAATAATGCAATAAGGGTATAGGGAAAAAGTCTGAAGTGTCAAGATTTTTGCATCTTGCTTAATAGTAAAATTTAAGCATCTTCCAAGATATTCTTAACAAGGTGTTATCTTTTCAGCATTTATGGTTGCCATAGAAACAAGTTACAAGTATGGGTGTTCAAGTGTTTTGTTCCCTGATTTATTTCAGAGACATTTGAAAATGAGAAACCTAAATGCCACATGTAACTAACCCATAGTCTCCCATAGTCTGCAGGTGTGTGACGAGGTGACCTGTCTTCAGAATAGCCCAAATGTAACAATTTCCTGTTCAAGCTGCTAGTGACACATGAATGAGAAATCTACTTTTTCCACTCTTGCTTCACTCTGAACCTTCACAGGGCAGTTCTAGAGATCACAGACATTGTTTTTGATCACAGATCAGAAACAACAAGTGCTGGTGAGGATGTGGAGAAAGGGGACCCTCCTACACTGTGGCTAGGAAGCTCTGGGGGACCAGTCCTCAAGAAGACCAGTGTGGTGGTTTTTTCTCAGTCAAGGATGCCAGCTCCTAGCAGCAGAAGGTATGTGTTTCTACTGTCCTCTCTCTCTGCTGGTCCATCTCTTTTAATGGAAGGTTATGATGTTAGATGTGAGGCAATTGATACACAATTCATAATATGTGGTCAAAACCAGGAGAACCTTGGCATCGTTATTTGAACAATTCAGGTAAAACATAAGAAGAAATCGAAATATTTGAGGATTTTTTCAAAATATTTCAATTCTTTTCAGTGGTGATTCAATTATATGACATGTATACATAATTAGATTTGTAAATCACTGCGTTTAAACTAAAATTTCACCAGATCATGACAAAGAAGAGTTTATTTTAGAATTCATACTCATATTTGTTCTATGTACTTTTTGCATGTAACACAATCTTTAAAATTTGATTCTTAAAATGAATTCATTTCATCATAAAGGGCAAAGGCAATTCTTCATCTACTTACTTATAGTCAACGTAATAGATTTAATGCTAATAGAAATCAATGTAAGATGGTGTCCATCAAATGCTATTTTGAATTTAAAAGTATACCAAATGCTTTAAAAAATAAACAAGCATTGTGTAAAAACTAGTATACTAATAAAACAGATACCTGTCTAATAAATTAGGTTATATGGTATAAGTAGTATTAAATTGAAATAAGATGGTGGTTGTATCAAAATACTAATTAAAATAAGGCATGTATTATTGACAGCTTACAAAAGTCAGAGTGAGTATCATGTTTTACATGTATTACATCTTAGGTATTGTAATTTCCATTTTAGATTAGCAAACTAAAACTAACTTGATAGTATGCATATTTCTTATTTTATTTTTCCTTTTAATTTTTAAGGTAAAATTAAATGGTCATAATTAGTAAGTGTCAAAGTCAGAATTAATTCTAGATCCCACACATTACAGTCTATTGACTGACTTACTAAAAGTATCATATTTTATTTGTGCAGTTACTTTCACACTAAGGCAACATTCATTAATTTGGACAGTTACAAGATTTTGCTGGAAGTTTTAACTAACAATGGTATTCCAACAATTAGAGGCCCAGAAATGATGTATCATTTTATGTTTTTTTTTTATCTAGCTATTAAATTGATTACCAAGCTCTTGTATTACTTCAAATTGTGCAGTTTTAAAATATTTTTGTTTTATTTTCAGTACTTTTTAGGTTTTGGATAAGCCAAGCATGCCATTAACATTAGCCAACATATGAAGTCCCTTTAATTAAAAAATTTCTCAAAATATCACAATGATAAAAGATATTTTTGAATAAATAATGAGATAATTTATTAACACTTTATCCCCTTTTAATAATTAATAGGAAGTTATTAAATAAAAATAGTATAGAAAATGTTCACACTGTTATTACTTCAAATGTTCATGCTATTATTGCTTCAAATTCGTCTTTTAGTCATTAGTTTTAAAAATTGTTATAAAAACAGGTGCATCTTTTTTTCAAAGCCAACATTTTATTTTAGTTTAGTGATACAAGTGTTGCTAAGCTGCTGTGTGGAATATAACTTTAGAACAGTAAAGCCTTTATTGGTCACGAACTTCTGATTTTTGAATATTTTCTTTTCATTTTTCCAACCAATACTATTGTGTCAGCATAGAATACTTTTTAAAAAACTTTACTCAGTCATGAAACAATTGTTTAAAGTTCCCAGGACTTCAGTTTTTTTTTTTTTTTTCATTGCGGTAATACTGGTAACATCAATGTAGGTTGGAGAGACTGTCCCTCTTCCTGTGGTGTTACCTTAGTGCTCTAGGATTTCAGACCCCTCAGCTGTGTCATTCAACTGCAACATGAGTCCATCACTCAACTCAACTCCGCCCACAGTGAACTGGTCTGAGGCACCACTATGAACTTCTGAGAAACTCACCATGAGACAGACAGTTCCTGACTCACAGAGCAGCAGAGATGAACGACCACAGAGTAACCTATGCAGAGGTGAAGCTGGCGAAGGGCTCGAAGAGACCCCAAGTGAAACCTAAAGAGAGGAAAAGCTGCACCACAGTGACCGAGCAGGGAATAACCTACGCAGAATTAAATCTCCACAAATCCCGGGGTCCTCAGGAGAATGGCAAGTCCCGTCAGTGCAAAGGTACAACATTCATTTATACAAGCGTATTCTCGGGTGTGCAGAGGGGTCGAGGGGAGGAAGAATGGGGATAAACTGACATGTTTCCATTTGTGAGGATCAGAACTGGAACGTGGTATTGTAGTAGGAAATAGGATGGCTACTTTTTTCCAGGTATTGTTGTAACTTATAATTGTTGAAAAACAATTCGTGTTTGTTTTGTTTAATAAATAAGTGTGATATGTTTTGGGGAAAAGATTCCAGTGGGAGGTAGAGGTCCCATGTCCAGGTTTATGAACGTGACTCCATGTGCATGAAGATTCTCTTGTCTGTGAACTGAACACCTGTCTCAGTCTGTCCTTTCTCGGTCTCCATCTCTCTCCCTGCAGGCTCACCGGCTCCTCCCGAGAAGCGCATAGCTGGGGTTTTGGGATGCACCTGCCTTGTGTTGATATGCGTTACTGTAGCTGTGAAGGTTAAAATCGTAGGTAAATTTATGAAAGATTATAATGATTATCAGTGCCACATTATAATAAATATAATATTCCATAATATTAAGGATTACAACTATTATGTTAGTATATCAGTTTAAATGTTGAATGGCTAACCATAGTTGCTCAAGATTATAAATATATAGAATGATTGTAAACATTATTTTATATAGATTCATATCTCATGATTCAAAACCAAGCTTTAGGAGATTGAAAGACCCTACTGAAAACTATGAAATGATTTTTGAGATGTGGTAACCAATACTGTAGCAGATGAAGAAATTTGACTCTTAATTTTTGTGATATAGCCCCTAATCTTTATTATTTTAATAATTTTAAGGAAAGTCAACTTTATTATAGTATTACTATAACTTTATAAACATATGTTTCTATCTTAGAAATATTGTTGTATTGATTATTATTTCCTTAAAACACTAAGAATATTTATGAGTTACTTAATTTTAATTTTTTCTAGATACTAAAAATCCAGAGCAGAATGGTTTATCCACAGCAACAAAGAGCCAGAAAGGTACACAATGATATGCAATGATGCTGTACAGTTTATGTTATGTACATATGCTAGGGAAAAATAGTCGATTTTTTGGGTAGAACATGTATTATAAGATAAAAAAGAACATGAAAAATGATCATAGGAGAGGTTCAAATTAACCAACAATAGGAAGAAAATATACTTACAAGTCATGTGGCAAATTGCTGATGTCCTGCTGCTATTACATAAAATTAACAATTTTACTACTAAAATATGACTTTATTTACTGGTTGCCAGGACATACACAGTGGACATTTGGGGTGTGAGTTTGGTTTCTGTGGGGGCATAAGCTATGCATGAGCAGCTGCCCCTTCTCTGTGTGTGTGGTCTCTACCAGATCTGGGGTGTGTTATGTGCATGATTGATGATATCTCCGTGTGTATGATGTATTTTAGGGTATGGATCCAAATAGTTTAGGCAGTAATTCAAAATCTCTCTTCAGAATACAGTTGCGGCCCCTGCCCACAGGGGTGGTTCACCTACTCCAGCAGCTGCTATTACCCTAGTGCAGAGAAAAAGACCTGGAACCAGAGCGGGTCCGCCTGTCAGAGAAACAACTCTCAGCTGCTCCTCATAGACAATGACGAAGAAATGGTAAGAATTTCAGTGTCCCCACCACTAATGGAATAAGGAAGACATATTGTTGTCAATTGTATATTTATAGATCCGTACATATATCTGTACTAATGTGCAGTTTAAAGTTTACATAATATTCATTGTTTGACTTTAAGGATATTACTACTATTTTTGCACCTTTAGGGCACACTTGAAAAACCCAGCCCACGGCTTTCATAGAGAACCTTGTTTCCCACATAAATATACACATATATTTAAATAGACATTGTAGTTTGACTTTCATACGCATCAAGAAAGGGGAGCATACTTTGATGAGAGTTTAATCATCACATGAATGGAAACTGCATCTGCAGGAGAGATCATGAATAGAAGCCCCAGCCCCCAGTGCGCCCAGACCTTCACTTCCGCTGTCTGTGTATTTCACTACTGACGTGTAATTTCATGTTGGGAGCCAGGGGTGTGTGCTCTTGGGACATCAGTCCTGAGCCCCACAGCCACCCCGCAGGATGACCCAAGAGGCACAGTCTATAGTCTCAAGCATAGAAAGATGGTGTCTCCCCACTGGGACCTGCAAGCTGAGCATTGAGCTCACAGTTGTGCCCTTCCTGATATTGCCAAGGCTGTACCTCCTGATAGCTCCATGGTGCCAACTGTTACAAAGGCATCACCCTGCCAGAGATTGTAGAAATAAATGTGCTGCACCTGTTTGGGGTCTCTGCCTGCATCTCCACAGCCCCCTGGTCCAGCTTTCACTACCACTGCTGCCTGTCCTTAAGCTCACTTTCCTCCCTCAGATCCTGCTAGACTGGGCGTCCATGGCAAGGTCATCTGGCCAGGATGGCAGGGTCTGGGCTGTTGCCCAAAGGACACACACTGTTGGCTCCCAACAATTTCAAAGTTTCTTTTCTTGTTTGTGAGTTATGCAATCATGTGGTATATGCTTTTGTTGCTGCCCCTCACTCCCCTATAATTCCTCAGTAACCCTCTGCGTCATTGCAATTATCTGCTATTTGCTAATTTTTACTGCAGAATTTTGATGTAACATTTAAAAATCTAGTCTTTTTGATTTAACGGGGGTGGGATGAGAGTGTCCTATTCTCAGAGATAAAGGAGCTTCCTGGTTCAGTGCTTTCCCTGTTAGTGTCCCCTGAGTTGTTCCTTGTCCACCTTCCAGCCCAGCCCGTGTGTCTGTCAGTGGTGGGGGTGAAGCGTGTCCCCACCGCTGACTGTGTCACTGCCCTGAGTCCCCGCCCCTGCTGGCTGCCCTGCTGCTGCCCAGCCTCCCCTGGTGTG